CGCTGTGTGTGTGTGTGTGTGTGTGTGTGTGTGTATAGTCACATTTGGGTTTACACGTGGATAAGCGATGATGTATTACAATTTATGTGAGTATGTCGTACTTGAAGGCATATTATTACTGAGACACAGATTTGTTGACAACGTATTGAAAATCGGTTCTCGTAGCTCGGGCGAACACCTACTTGTAAATGCGACGGGAGCCTAGGGAGCTAACTGTTTAAAACAAAACACTTGTAAAGTCGTATGTGCGTGATCGTCAGTGAATGGACCACATGTATGCGATTTTCCAACAGTATGGGATGCTTATTGATTAAATATGAAAGTGATATGCAGATGCGGGCGTGCGTGCGTTCCAATTATTCGAATTTGTAATACTTTTTTCTGTTACGCACTTTAGTGTGATGATCTTTAGACAGGGCAATCCCCATAGTGACGAGGACCTGGAGTTCAGTAATGGAAACCGGTAACCTGAGCTCCATGGGACTTCCANGGACTTCCAGTGGAGATCCACATAAGGCCCCACTCGGAGTTAGACTTGCACCGGACGACAGCCACGCTACTACACCACCAAAGTTGGGTGGCGGTGGCGGGGTTCGAACCTCGGACTCTAGGGTCCCAAGTACAATTATTTCATTGCCGTTGTCCTGAAAACAATCATTTTCTGTAAAATATATTATCTCAGTATCGATTTACACTTCGAATGCGATTGCGCAATTGAAGTAGTGTATGTGTGTGAGATGTCTCATACGCCTTGTGGAGAATAGTGGTAAATAAACTAGTTACTAAGGTCAAATAGTGGGAGAAACAATTTACAACATATTCGTTGTGTTTTACACCCCTTTTTCTTATCCGAGTCCAGTATAACGTGTCTGTTTATTTCATCTTTGTGATGAATGTTTTGTGTCACCTTAGATAAAGTCATGGACTGGATTTGAATTAAACATAATCCTCTGTGGTAGATTTCTGTTATCACACCGGTTCTTTGAACACACACACACACGCACATGCACATACACACACAGAGTACCGTTTTTAAACTGATTGGATATAATTTCTGCGTAACAAAACAATTATTATCATGCATTTCAAAGCCTATTGGGACTCGTTTCAACACACAGAGCAAGTTGTGTGTGAATCCGTTCAATGTCCAAATGAGGTCCTTCGTTCTGAGGAAACTAAGATGCATTATATCACACTAAAACTAAAAGTTTCGCAAGTGGTATTGTACCGGATGACAGTAACAAAGACAGGGCCCGAACCTCGGAACATAGGGCCACCAGCGACCAAATCACTGTGCCATCACCATCAATCAACCAATTTGTGAAATACGAATAGGGATACGATTTTTTTTACAAATATGCGACACAGTTATGCGGTCCTATCCCCTTTTCTGTGTCCTTGTGCGCCCAATTATCTTGAACACACTGTACATATATATCATCTGGTGTTCAAATTTCAATGATGCTCAGTGGAAAGAACAATTGTGATAAATTGCAACAAAGCGTCCTTTTCCGGTCCCCCATTCGTAGTCTCCAATGCGGACCGCGGATTTGTGCACGATATAGTTGTGGTTGTCGTGCTTGATCATGATTCCTTTCAACTAAGTTGCAGTACTGCTCACGACAGTGGAATGCAGATCAACAACACATCGAAAAACACGGTATTCTCTGTCTCACTGCAGTTTTGACCGTAGTCTACCTTCTGCATACCAGTGGGAATTCAATCTACCAAATGGAATCATTTACCTATACCGTGGTTTCATCCATTATGCCAGATATCCCGGACAACTTACAACTTATAGCTCCATGTGGACGGTGGCAGAAGAATATTCAAACAACGAAATAAGCCTTCGCACATAAAATACACCTACCTACCACCGTCCCACTTGCGCTCACCTGGTGGTTATGAAACATGACCGATGAAAATCGAGGACATCCGCAAATCGGGACTTTCGAACATGGATGTCTATGCCACCTGATGGGATCGAATCTCCGACAGCATGATCAGACAGATTATTTGAACGTGTGGGATACCTGATATTGGAATGTCCGTGTCCGCCCATTCGCATGATTCTCTTTAGTCGCACAACGCCCCGCTCAATTCTCTTACCTTATTCAGACTAATTTTTGTACTTCGCTCAAACAAATGCTTCTTATTCCATGTGGTAGAATCAAGAGCAATGCACATTTGTGAATCATATGCGTTCATACGTGCAGCAATCAACAAGTTGAATTTTATGTTGCGATAATTCAATGTTCCGTTTCGTCTTGTTTCTTTTTGTCATACAGGTTCGAACCAAAACCGTTCGGGTGAAGGGAGCTACTAGTGGTGAGTTGATTCTCTTTCATTTTGTCTTCTGCTGCGTGATATCTCGGTAGGCGAACTAGTGTTTGAATACCAACAATAGTCAAATTAGCTAAAAGAGTTGTTACATACTCATACATATGCACTCCTCACTGCTATAGCAAGTAAAGCGACATTACAGGAACGAGATTGAAGGTTCGTTTCTATCATCGAATTCGGAAATGCACAAACTTCGCACTTGAACCCGGATCTATTTCCCACGAAGTTCAAATCCCAAATTACGTAAACAATTCCTTAGTGAACAGTGACAGATTACGATAGGAGTTCGTATGGGACAGGTGTAGTACGAAAAGCAAGACTAAGGGAGATTGAAAAGCTCCCTCTCTCTCTCTCCAATGTTTGGATAATCCGAAGACAATCTGTTTGTGACTATTTGGTCGCAAAGCATTCGATCCTGGTGTTTATTCAACTTTCGCGGAGCAACGAACAGAGAATCAAGCTTTACCTTTATCGTTTGTATGCTGTTTCTGAGACGAATTTGTCGTTTTCCGGTGTAATTATGAATCTTTTACGAGGATCAAAACATCGATGGATTTTGACTGATGTCTGTCGCTGATCAAAATCGCATTGCACAGAGCACACAACTCATCATCAACGACATGACAACAATTGACTGAATTGTGAAATGAACGGTCGTGCGTCCGCTTTGAAAAACAGTTGACCATGACGTAATCTTACCCAGGTAAGCTGGTTCTTCTCCGTTGGACAAGGTAATTGGATCACGAATATAGTCTTTCAGTGCTCTTCGAATGATCAATGATGAATGATCAATTAGACTGCATTTGCTCCCCTAGTGACAATCGAACTAAAACCTTATTCTGGGACACATTCTGGAATCCTTTTGTCAAGCCCGTTCCAGTCTTTTTTTAGCTACTCCTCACTCCTCGTACCTACAATAAGAATGCTATTGTTTGTGCTGTCATATGATGCCCAATGATACTTTGAATGTTCTGTTATGTGCATGAGTGCACTTGCTTGAGATTTTGTTTTTATANACACACACACACACACACACACACACACACCTACACACATTCCAATCTACATCGTCTGTGCATGTTCGACCAGGATGACCAGCTCGACGTATATTTTTATCTCAACAGCAGGCAAGTGGTAACCGATGGGACCAGCTATTTCGTTTTAGCGACAATACTACTACTACTACTACTACCATTGTTGTTTTTGTTGTTGTTGTTACTACTCTAACTGCACGGGATTTGTGCGCTTTGCCTATTGTGGAAACGAACGTTATAGTTTTGCACTCGAGGTAATCCAGGATGGTCCGTCTGTGTACAACTTAGCGTGCGGAACACCGAACGTCCCTCTTTCCATTCTGGATATCCCGATATCAATTTAATATGTCTCGTCACTGTATGTGTGTGTGTGTGTGTGTGTGTGTGTGTGTGTGTGTGTATGGACTACTGTGCTTTGTGCACAATATCATGACTCTTTCAACAACCAAGCGATGTGGAACGCTTTCATGAGCAAAGCAAATTGCTCTCTTGGGTACGTGCACACATACACACGCCATCTGATTTCTTTAGCGTATACAGGAGAGTGGAAGCAGTCCTAATTTTCTGCCATCGTCGTTTGTTATCATTTGGACAAACTATTTGCTAAAAAAGGACTCATCTTTGTGCTGCTTAAGATACTGTCCATATGCTAGCGAAACGTTTTCTGTCGAAAAACAGAGCTTTTATGTCTTTTCTTGTACTCTTCAATGTACAGACTCTGACGGTCCGTGTACTCTCATAAATAATGCAATAAACATGTCTAATATATATATATATATATATATATATATATATATATAACG